CACCCCCACACATAAGGTTGCCAGGCTGAGGAGCAGCAAGCAGCTGCCAGAGCGTCAGATGACAATGACTTTGCATTGAATGAGGAGGGAGCAATGATTAAGGGAATGTAGGCAGAGCCTTGTCTTCTTTTAATACAGACAGTGGTCAGATGTTGGTGGCGCACACCTTTAATCCCAGCATTCGGGAGGCAGAGGCAGGTGGAGCTCTGTGAGTTTGAGGCCAGCCTGGTCTACAGAGCGAGTTCCAGGACAGGTGCCAAAGCTACACAGAGAAACCCTGTCCTGAAAAACAAACAAAACAAAAAACCAGACAGTGTCCAGAGACTTCCATTCCATAGCTTGTTTTTCCTATGGATGAGGTTCTTGAGCAACCAGACACAGACTGGATCTTGGAGCTGCACGCCCTGTGGGGGTTTGTTTCCCACAGCTACCCCAGCCTCCAAAGCAGGACCTTATTCTGCTCTTTTAGCAAAGGAGACCAGACCTACAGAGAGGAAGGGCTTCCTCGTGCCTTCTCTTCTCACTTGGTGCCTCTTCCATGGCCCCCACACCAAGAGATGGTGCCTGTGCAGTGCTGGGGACAAATGACAGACACTGGAGCCTTAGGCAGGAGTGAGGCTTTGTTTGGTGTTACAGAACTGAGGCTTCTGGAACCTTGAGGATTGTCAGGTCCATCCTGCCCAAGTCCCTCAATTCCTAGCTTCTCACTGCATTGTGTTTTGGGGTTCCCTGACCTGAGTTCATATAGGTGAAAGGCCTGTGAAATACCTTATAATCTGCTTGGACTGACAACCCCTCCCCCAGCCAGCCTTCCACCATAAAGCTATGGGCTGCATGGAAAAAAACAAAAAACCAAAACATTCCTTATAGTTACTTTGCTCTGTCCCGTTGAAGTGAGTAGATTTATGTATTTTAAACGAGGACTAATCTGACACCGAATGGCATCTGAAAGTGATATAAGCTTCTGGTTTCTTGTGTGTTGTCCTGAGTTGTGTGTGTGCATCCACTTTTGCACTGTCAGAGATTGTTTCAGATCAGCACAAAGAGTCCACTCGTTCTTTCTTATCTTGTGCATTATTTCTTTACAAGGATATTCTGTAACGGGTCCAGTATGGTTTTCAAAGGCATATTCTGGGAAGTTTAGGTCCTCAGCCGGAAAGAGGATGTAAGCCCTTTAAGGGGTGGAGACAAAGAAGAAAAGAAAAAGGAACTGTTGTTGGAAGTTAGTGTTAGAAACCAGTATGTATCTGATGTTGCTAAGGAAGTTGTGCCCCTTAATTCATCTCTAAATACCATAATGGGATTATATGTGTAAACAGAAACCTCCACAGAAAGCAGGGCCCTCCCTTAAAAAGCAGCTGTCACAGGCATCCAGCCACTGATGTATACTTTCTGTCCAGCCAATTGCTTGGCAACCAGTGGATGATGGAGTTTCCTTCTTCTCTGGGAAACAGAGAGAAAGATAGTCAGTGGCCAAAGCCTGTGGTCACTTTAGAGTAGCCTATGGGAGAAAGGGCTTGAGCCCTGGCCAGGAGGCAGCCAGAGGAGCAGAAATGCCTGGCAAGGCTGTGCAGTGCCAGGGGTTGTGATCCACAACAGAACAACCAAGGGTGACCAGGCCAAAACAGCCTCTCTGGTAAGAGCTGAAAACCAAAGTTTATAGAGTCAATACAAGTTTAAAGATAAGTAAAGATTTAGAATCGTACCTAGGCAGTTTTTCTTTTGCTTAAAAAAAAAAGAGAAAGAAAGAAAAGAAAAGAAAGAAAGAAAGAAAGAAAGAAAGAAAGAAAGAAAGAAATCTTTGAGATAGGATTTCTTCGAATGGCTTAAGAAAGCTTCAATTTGACACATACTCCAGGTTGGCCTGGGGCTCATGAGCTTCCTGCCTCTGCCTCCTAAGTGCTGGAGCTCCAAAATTTAAAAATGTTGGGCCTGTAAGATGAGTCAGAGTCATTTGCCACCAAGATGATGGCCTGAGTTTAGGTAGGAGAGAACTGACTCCAAAAGTTATTCTCTAACCTTCACATGTGCCCCAAGACATGCTTGTGTCCCCCCCACAACACACACACACAGACAAATGGAATCTTTGTTTTGTTTTTTATTTTGTTTCTCAAGACAGGGTTTCACTGTAGCCTTGGCTATCCTGGAGACCAGGCTGGCCTCAAACTCAGAAATCCACCTGCCTCTGCCTCTTGAGTTTGGAATTAAAGGTATATGCCACCATGCCTGGTGACAAATATAAAATGCTTGCCCGATGGCTCAGGCTTGTTATTAGCTAACTCTTACACTGAAATTAACCAATATTTCTTATCTATGCTCTGCCACGTGGCCTGGTACCTTTTCTTAGTACAGCATGTCCATCTTGCCTCTCTCTGTGTCTGCTCACCACTCCCAGGTCTGCCCTTCTTCTTCCCAGCATTCTCAGTTTGGCTCATCCACCAAAACTTATCCTGTCCAGCTATTGGCCAGTTAGCTTTTTTGTTAGCCAATGAGAGTAATATATATTTACAGTGTACAAATATTGTTCCACAGCAAGTGGGCAAGAATATAGCTTAGTTGACAGAGTGCTTTCCTGGAATGCTTGAGGCCCTGGGTTTGATCCCCTGTACTACATGATCTGGGTGTGGTGGTAGGAGTGCCTGTGTAACACACAGGAAGTACTGGGTTGGAGTTATGAATGGTTGTGAACCACCGTGTGGGTGTTGGGAACTGAACTCAGGTCCTCTGCAATAGCAGAATGATCCAATTCATTATCTTCCCATTCATTCACAGTGACATTTCCCATTCTCATAGTGACAAATGAATTAGTGACGACCAAAGTGGAGCCAAGAACAGCCAGGAGATGTTGCATTATTCCAAAAGAGAAAGCTATGAACAAAATCAAGGTTTTGGAAGAATATATACTTGAGCTAGATTTTAGAGTTGAATTCCTCGGGAACTAGCGGTAGGTAGGTTGTTGTGAGGAGTATCTAAGAGGAAAGAATGCAGGCTCATCCCCCAGGTATGATGGGAGGTCAGTGGAGGAGTCAGTCTGAGGGACCAAAATCGAGCGTGAGACCTGGCTAGATTGTGTCTGTGAATCATCCAAGTGGAAATGTGTGGTGATTGTGCCTGGAACGGAGAGCAGAGAACGGAACTGGAGAAATCCATCTGGGATCCAGGGAAAGATGAAATTGCCTGAAAGACAGTGTAGAAAGTAAAGGAGAGAGTGCCTGGATTGAGGATGAAGAGAGGCTGCAAGACCAAGATGGAGACAAGAGGGTTGCTAAGAGACTCATGCATGGAACTTAGTGAGGGAGAACGCTTTGACTGTAGTAATGCTCCTGGGAGGTCAACTTAGACACAGATTTTTTGAAAAGACCATCAGAAAATAACAGAGATGTTTAAGGAATTTAGTTGGGGGTCTGGAGAGATGGCTCAGCAGATTAAAAACATTGATTGCTATTGCAGAGGACCTGAGTTCAGTTCCCAACACCCACACGGTGGTTCACAACCATTCATAACTCCAATTCCGGGGCATCTGCCACCCTCTTCTGACCTCCTAGGGAACCATATATGCAGGCAAAACATTCACACACATAGAATATTATTTTAAAAAATCTAAAATGTAAAGAGTTCAGTTTGGGGCAGCCTTGAGGGTGGGTGCTGGTATCACAGGTGCTGAGACCACTGTGCTTTGTCATGACCTCAGAAAGACCTTGAGAAAGTGTTGCGGTGGCTGGGGTCTGTATGACTGATTGACAGGACATGCAGCCAGTGTGCTTTATTTCTTCTTCATGATCGGCAGATATCGAACTGCCTGAGCCTGACAGGAGCATGCAAGGCTTTGAGGGCCCCCTAAGCATCCTTTTCAGGGTTCAGCTGACTCACGGTTGCTCCTCCCTTGTTTCCCACAGGACACTTCACAGCCATGGTATGGAAGAATACGAAGAAGATGGGAGTCGGTAAAGCATCCGCAAGTGATGGGTCCTCCTTTGTGGTGGCCAGATACTTTCCCGCAGGGAATGTCGTCAACCAGGGCTTCTTCGAAGAAAATGTCCTGCCTCCAAAGAAGTAACTCTCCAAATGGTGGAGACACACAAATGAAGTGCCTATAAAACAACAAAGAGCCAGCAAGCATCTGCCCCTGTGGGTGTATGCACTTGTGTGTGTACTCTTGAACATCTCGTGCACACACTATAAGCAACAGAGCATGAGCTCATTTCTGGTTAAAGGATGGCCACCCGAAAGCATTTATCCAGAGGGTTACCTAACCACAATTACTTAGATTTGGGTATGGTCAATTCTGACATATTTTTGCTGTTATTTTTTTAAAGCAGACTTCTTTTTGTATCTTTCTTCATTCTAATATCCATCCTTGGACTCTGTATTCTGATATTTGCCATGCTGAGAGGTGAGGTCATTTTATGTGTACTTCCTGTGTTATAATCTCGTTTTTTTGGTTTTTTGGTTTTTTTTTTTTTTTTTTTGGTAGATTTTGAAGAGTATTAAACCTTCCTTTAAATGTGACATAAAGCAGCTTGCCTTAGAGATACGTCACTAGCTCCATTTCACAGAGTCAGTGAGATTTCTTGTTCTCAGTTGGAAAAGACATGATATCATCCCACATCCTCTGGGATTCCCTAATGGAATTGCCAAAGAGCAAATGGAGAAGGAAAAAAGCCTTACTTCCTTGCGGTCTTACCCTGTAAAGAGCAAATACCACAGCCACGAGCACCTTTCACACCTCACACATCTTTTTTTAAATGCTTACAGCCTTACATCTGGCTTCTGGGGGCAGGGGGCTAGGTCTGGAATGCAGTCCTGCCCCCCACTCTCATCTCACTGGACCCTCACACTGCCTGGGCTTTGGGCCAAGACTTTGGACTATGAAGTCAGTGGTGTAGGGGAGAGGGTGAGCCCATTTGGGGACCCTGGAGGAAACCCGACAGCCTCTGCCCTTCCCCAACCCAGCAGGCAGTGACCACCCAGCCTTGTCCCCTGCAGCTGTAGCTGCAGCTGAGCTGTGACTCCCTCCTGGAATGTGTGACAAGCCCAAATGCTCCCGGGAAGAGGCCCAAACAGGGAGATTAGGAACGCTAATTTGATTCTGTGTTTTGCCTCAGACGATACACAGTTCTCTCTGAATAGCTGTTTAACCAGGTCCCCTTGGGAGGGACCAAGCTAGAGGTCCAGTTGAGTGTCCCTGAAATGACGGCATCTCCTCCTGCCAACACCAGTGCTGGAGGAAGGGGTGGTTGATCTAAGGAAAGAGTGAGGCTGACGGATCTTTGTTACACTGTGAACAGTCTCACACTGTTTATTCATCCAGGGATATAGACTAAAGAGACAATAAAATCCGTTCTTTTTGTGTAACTTCTTCCTCAAATGCTTTTAGTTTATGGCTGAGATAATTCAGGACTGTGAATCCATCTTGAACCACTCCACCTCCCCAGTCCCTCCCCAGGGCACTGCACTGCCTAAATAGCCACTTTAGAAACATGTGACCTACTAGGCTCACAGATGAATGGCGACCCCATCTGAGGCCAGACAGCCCCTAGACGGGACAGAGACAAGGAATTTGAGCCTAGACACATGGAGAGAATTTACTGGTGGAACTGAAAACATAAGGGTGGTATAAGTTTAAAATAGAGCCCCAGCAAACCTAAGCTATTTGTAGTCCAATTATTAACGGTAAAGACAGATGAGCCTGGCCTGGAAGCACAAGCCTCAAATCCTAGCTACCCTGAAAACAGAAGCAAGAGGATTAGAAGTTCAAGGCCAGCCCAGACAATTTAGTGAGACCCTGTCCTAAAAAGAAAAAGGAAGGCAGAAAGTGGCTTACATGTCTGAGGCTCTAGCGGCAAGCCCGTCCCCACCCTCACCACCCTCACCGTGCTTCAAAGACAAATTTGAGAAGAGACGCTATCCTGACCTTCCTACTTGTAATTCTGTATATCTTTGAAAATGCCCTAACTTAAGGATTTGTAATATGATGATATCAATCTATAAAGATTAGAATATTAGGATTTCCTCCTCAGGAAATCCCCAAATATGGAAAATTCTGAGCAGGGTAGGGAGAGTGGAATAAAGGGATCTGGCAGGGGCCCTTTTCCGGCCACACCAAGCCAACAGCTATTGAGTTCCTGGTGACTCCTAGGAACACCAGCAAATACAGAGGACCAGGTGGTGGAAGCTGGCGTGAAGCCAGGCTATGCTGGAGTCTTTCCACAGTTGGTCGGGACTAAGGAAAATGCTGCTTTCCAGGACTGGAGAAGAGTCGGGAGGTGATGCTGGCGGAACAGATGGACAAGGGCACAGCCATTTTCTTCTTTCTCTTTTGACAGTCTCATGGAGTATCCCTGGCTGGCCTAGCCCTTGCCATGTAGACTAAGCTGGCCTCAAACTGGTAATTCTGTCCCAGTTCATTCCTTCAAGTATAAAGGAACATTTTTATTAACCAGGCGTGTGGGTGCACACTTTTAGTCCCAGCAGAGGCAGAGACAAACAGGCAGTTCTAGTTGAGTTCCAAGCCAGCCTGGTCTACCTAGCGAGTTCCAGGACAGCCAGGACAGCCAGGGCTTCATAAAGAGACCTTGGGTCTTAAGGTTTTTATTACTGTGATAAAACACCTGACTGAAAGCAGCTTGGAAAGGAAAGTGTTTATTGCCTCTTACACTTTCAGGTAACAGTCCATCACTAAGAGAAGTCAGGGCAGGAACCTGGAGGCAGAAACTAAAGCAGAGTTCATGGAGGAATGCTGTTGACTGGCTTACTCAGCCTATTTTCTTATACCACCTAGGACCACCTGCCCGAAGAGGGCACCAACCCACAGTGAGATGGGCCCTCCCAATCAATCATTAATCAAGACATTAATCAATACCCCCCTGACTGTAATACGGTGTGTTTTCTCGATTCCAGGTCAACCAAAACACCGTCTCAGAGCAAAATTCTGTGTGTGTGTGTGTGTGTGTGTGTGTGTGTGTGTATGTGTGTAGTGTGCGTGTGCCGGGGGTGGGTGGGTGTAAAAACAACTTTGTGTCCTTCCACCTTTATGTAGGTCCCCAGGAATCCAATTTAGGTGGTCAGGCTTGCTGTGCAAGCAACCTCAATAGCACCCCCTACACATACTCTTTTTTTTTCTTTTCTCCCCCCCCCCCTCATTTTAAATCTCAAGTAGGCGAGGCTGGCTTAGAACTATAGACTATATAGCTGAGGGTAACCTTGAACTCCCTATCCTCTGTTTCTGTCTCTCAAGGGCTTGGATTACAGGCATGGGCCACCACACCTAGATTATGTGGTGCACAAACCCCAGGCCTTGTGCACGGTAGACAAGCATTCTACCCACTGAGCTATATCCCCAGTCCAGTTCCTTCCAGTGAACTTTTTCCTTTTTACATTTTTGACTTTGAGACAGTCTATTACATTGCCTGAACTTACTATCTTCCTTCTGCAGCCTCTTGAGGGCTGAAACACCTGTGGACCACCACACCCTACTTTGTTTTGTTTTAAGGTCTCTGAATGTTGCCTGGGGTTAACCTTAAGCTCAAAGATCCTCCTGCCTCTCTCCTGAGCTTTTCATCTTTGAGTTTGTTGAGGACTTAACTGCAAGGTCTGCAGTTAAGATCAGAGCACAACTTGAACCTGAGTTGAGCAAACCTCTTTCCTCTATGTCTGGTCTGTGAGGTCCTCCCAGACCGCCATGATCTCTCTGGCTGGAGGCACAAAGTGAGTGCACTCCTTCCTGTCCTGGTACTCTGGGGTCTGATGACCTCCTGCTTCTGGTAAATGTCCCAGCAAGTAGGGTCTGGCAGCCAGGAGGGTGCTGAGTGTCAAGCGTCCTTATCAGCATCGTGATGCTTCCTCCAACCAGTACCCACTGCTTCTCAAGTGACTAGAGCTGGAGAAGGGTGAAGAAAAAAAAAAAGGCTCGATTTTGAATGAAAAGATGAATGAATGAGAAAGCCAGAGAGAGACGGGCTGGAGAGTAGTCGGGATGAGGCTGACAGCTCCCTGGGAGGGGCACTCTGGAGTGGGGCTAAGAGCCCAGAATGGAGATCAGGGTTTGAGCCAGTAGTACAAGGGCCCAAACGGCAAGGCTCTTCTTTAGCTGTCATGCACCCCCTCTGGGCTCGGTTCCACATCTGGAAAATGAGAACAGATGTGGGTCTGTCAGACTTTGACCCCTACGTTCAGATGTGTGCGTTTCCGAGTCCCTCCCACACCACGGAGCCCCAGTCGCGACAAAGCAGGCAGAAAGGGGTCCCCAGCGGCGGGGCCCGCCCCTGCGGGCGCCCCGG